CGGTGTCCAGAAGCGTACCTTGCACTAGCAAGATAGCAAAGGTCCGGTTACAAAGGGTTCCTCTCAGACCTAAGCACGGTACCTCATTCCGACGTACAATGTAAAAACAGGTACAGTGCCACTTACACATTTATTACACACAATCACTGACATAGCGGCCAAAATCTCTACCGCGACGCTTTTCTGGACGTTGGTATTCATTTCTCATTACTTATGTAGGTTCCCGCCTCGAAAGTCCCCCCGACATCCCGTTCCCCGAGGGGCCCGGGCCCTGCCAGCCCGCTGGGTTACCCCCGGGCAGCGGCCTCCGTACGTCCGAGGCGGGGCTCTATAAGCGGGCCGCCCGGGACGACGGAGCGCGGTTGACTCACCGTGAACTGCCAAGGGACCAGTATAATCCCATAGTTTTTGTAACATCCGGACTATTATACTCAACCTTGACACGACGATAAAAGTGTGAGTGTAAATTGTAATTTGTACTTTTTAACGTTAAAATTAGGGAGATAACAGAGGTTTCACATAAAACCCATTTTAGCAGGGTAGGTTTTTGTCGACGCAGTATTTGTAGTATGCATTTAATTGCAGTTGCAGAGTAGTTAGTAACAGTAAGTTGTCTTGACAATTCGTACCGTCAATATTTGTGTTTTCGACCTCGATGTTTTGTGTTTCTTTTTCTATTTTTCCTGGTTCCTTTTCGTTTAACAGGTTTCGATCTACCTATAAACAAAGCGGGATGAGGAGGAAGGACGCCCTGCAAAGTAACAAACCATTGCGTAGCTAACTAGTAGCGCTAGCTTTAGCTAACGTTAGCTAACGAAACGAACTGCCGAGTAAAATTGGAAAATGCTGGTAATTAATTATTCTATAATTTGTAAAACTACGGTGTTAAAAAAGACAATTTCAAAAATACAGATTCTAATGGTCAGATATAGATATACAGATACTAAAGATATGCATGTACTTGCTTTCAAGCAGAACACAGGGGAAAACAAACTTAGCGGGAGTGTTTACGTGTTCGGCGTAATGACGTACAACGGCCTCGACAATTTCTGTAGTCCTATTCAGCCACTCGGTAACAACCATCGTTTTTCAAATCCCCAGTGGGGTCACTGCTGATGTATTTAATGTCGTAGAACAAAACGTCAATTACCTCTTAAATTTGTGTCAACCACAGACCTTATTTCGAGCTATTTTCCAAAACCCTATGGAAAAAATGCATTGCTTTTTGAGGAAGGAACCGGAAGTGCTAAAAATGCTAACTTACTTCCGGGTTTTACGACGCGTCACTGCGGCTCTCTATAAGTAAGGGATCATGCCGATCTAGATCCCTCCGCTTCGCGTCGGGCTCCTGATCAGCCTGTCGGTGTTCTTTTCCCCATAATGACCGCGTCGCAGCACATTATCCCTTACTTAACGCTGCAATGCAAATTACATTATTCCCTTTTTTAAATGTTGTATCGGGTTGCTCTGAGTGAGACCATATGTTAAGTAAAGCAGATTCTTCCTCATACATCTGAAATCTTAAGTCATTAGAAGAAAAACACACCGTTACTAATTCAACACTCTTGGGTGAAATATGACAAGTAGCTTATCGTGGCTAAAGTTAGCAAACGCTAAATAGCTATGGCTGTATAATAAAATGACATGTCTTGTCACATGATCTTATAGCTTTGGGAAGTCCAACCATATGTGCTGCGTGCTACGACTGTCATATAAAAGTTTGACTGCACCTGCAGGAAAACACCTTGGTAGACATAAAAGCATCATGTCATCTGGAACAGTAAGATGAGCTCATTCTAACAACGAGCGTTCTTTTTTATTGTCATGTGCCTTACAGAGAAGCAGTTGTTGGCAATAAAATATAATCCCAGACCCCCTCCAGCAATATGCAATAAGTGTGTATTCAAGAGCCCCTATTATGCTTTTTGGGGTTTCCCCTTTCCTGTACTGTGTTATATATGTTTGTGTGCAGGTAAATGGTCTGCAGAGGCTGAAATCCCGCACTCCAAATGTATTGGCTGGCGCTTCAACACATTGTACGTGATAGGCCAGGGGGCGGGAACATTTCTAGGAGACATCAAAGATTATGTATTTTTACATTTATATTTATATTCCTTGTACTGACGCAACTTCCATGAATTGTACTCGACTGTTTCCATATATACATAGGTATTGGAGCAAATACACACATAGGAAAACATGAACAATATATTCTATATTTATGCATGAAGCTAATATTTGGATAACTGCCTCATTTTCCGAAAATTGAAAAGAAAGTCCATCGCATACTTTGCCAATCAATCCAACTTCATTTACAGGCAAGGACTTTTACATAGCTCCATGTAGCGTGCATTGCTACCTCCAGCAAAGGCACTCCCATCTGGGTGTTGTAGTCTTTAGGGAGTCAACATCGGAATCTAAAGCATGCTGTTATAAGCATTTAGCTCAAAGCACCACTGTATTGCATAAGAATAGCTTCAACATCCGTTTATGAATGTCAAACATCTAAAGACAGTCAACCAACAAGAAAAAACCCATTTTGGGGGCGAAGGGGTCTCTGAAGTCAGATGTGAGGCTTGTGATAACTCACAGAGGCTTTGAAGGGCTTTGTGTTGCTTTCTGTGGTTGCAGTGTGCAGAAACATTTACTCACACTGCGTGCCAGAAGCGTCTGACAGGGAAATGTGTCCGTGTGATACTGAGTCTGTAAACAGGGCTGTCCATCAACCGCAGCCGAAGCTTGACATGAAGACGTCAACACAAGGAGGAATTTAAAAGAGGAATGTTTTACCCAAACATCAATCAGAACGCACATTTGGCTTCTATAATGTGTTGTGTAACTATATGTACTGGGCATCAGATTATTTGAGAAAAGTGAATATGAGATTTTCTTTTGGCCTTCCCAATATCCTTCATAATGTAATCTATGGCCGCCAAGCTAACAGCGGCTAATATTCAACGCTAAGTGGTATCATTTAGCCACTTTTAAAACACATATAAGCTTTGGATATTCACGAGTGGGGGATTTACTGATGTATTTTATGTCGTAGAACAAAATGTAATAATCTCTTAACCCTCCCGTTGTCTTCGGGTTAAATCTGACCGATTTACTACTTTCATCAATCATAACTTTTTTGTTTTACATTCGATTGCATTAAGGCTTTATGATATCCTTCACAGTAGACATTTGAACATATAAAATGGCTGATCACCACTTTCATTGAATTTTGGATGATTTAGTCAACTTTGTAACACCCATGGTGTTCCCGGTCAAAAATGTCCGCCATAAAGAAAAGGAATTAGTAACCATCCAGATCAGATACACACACACACACACACACACACACACACACACACACACACACACACACACACACACACACACACACACACACACACACACACACACACACACACACGTACGTTACGTTACTACTAACAACTACTACTACACCACACACACACACACACACACACACACACACACACACACACACACACACACACACACACACACTCCAGATGTGTTCCCCCCCCCTTATGTGCCCATCCCCCCACATGGATCACACCTGGCACACGCAATACATGTTCAGGGGGGGGGGGGGAAACGAAGACAATACTTGTGTTAACCTCACACCTTTTTCAGACATAAAACACATGCAAAATAATTTGAGACGAGAAAACAGGAAACGACTCATTTTGGGGTTTTAGGACTGATTCCTGCAACACTCTATGAGAGAGATAGATTTGAAAGTGAATAAAAGGGATGCTTGACACTATTTATGACCTGCCTGCTCTACTAACAGAGCTATGTGGCGGCCTGAAAATTATATATTAACACATATTTAGCCTTTAACAAATATTGTACTAACTGTGATTTAAATAGAATTTGGAGTAATTGTACAGCCCTATAGCTTTATAATACCTGCCATTTCATAAGCTAAATTGCAATAACTTGTGTGTTCACAGGGCGGGCGAGGCTTGGACGGGCCGCGGGGGCTCCGAGGACAGCCGGGCGTCGGACTCAAAGGAGACAAGGTAGAGCACAGAGTGGCTGTAAATAAGACGCCTTCACAGGGGCACGGAGATAAAGACAGAGTCCGGCTGTGGTGAAAGCTGCGAGTTGGCAGATAACAGTGAGTTATATATGAGGTCACATGCTACAGGTGATGAATCAGGGTTGGAGGCTGGACAGTGTAGGAGGAGAGCAGCTGTGCACAGAAAGGTGTTCGCTCTCAGACGTTGCTAGGATGACATGAATTGATTTAAAATGTGTTTTAAAGTGATATAACTCCCCTTATGTCACTGGAATGTGACGTTAAACTATTGGTGAAACCCCGGAAAGAAGGTGTGTCTTTTTAAATGTTTTCCTGCATCCGATGGTGCTGACAGTTTTACCGCAGGCCTCGTGGTGAAGCTACAGGCTTTTCTCTATGTTATTTGTGATGCTTGAAAAGACATGCAAATATCATCAGGTTATGCGTGTGAAAAGATGTGACTGCAGAATGTTTATGTCTTGTGTGCTTTCCCCATGCTGTAAATCATGAACGTGACATTTGATGCATGCTAATACTATCAACACTACCAGCTGGTGTCATCATTAACCTTCTGATCCGACCCTGCAGGGGGACTTCGGCCCCCCGGGTCTTCCAGGGCCACTCGGCCTCCCAGGAGTTGGCATACAGGGCGAGAAGGCAAGTGACTCCCAACTGCTATACAGTTAGTGTGTGCCATGCTTTTCATCAATTACATTTTTTGTTTGTTTTAGAGACTGAAGAAAAATGTTGGGAAAGGGGGCGGATGAATAAATATGAATTAAATGTAAGAATGTAGCCTAGGGTTCGTAAAGGTCGCATAAGTTGCACAACTGTTCGTGTTTTGGAGGAACAGCTGTGGCCGTTTCCCTAATATGATAAAACAAGTTCAGGGCTGTCAGAAGTGGAACTGCGTATACTTTACTCAAGTACTGTACTTAGGTACAATTTTGAGGTACTATGTTACTTGAGTCTTTTTCTTGACACTTTTACTTTTCTTTCTAATACAATTCAGAGGGAAATACTGTATATTTTACTGATAGCTTAAAAACGTTGTCTATAACAACAACGTTTTAGATTATCATTCATAAATATCGTTAAGTTATTTTTCCTACAAAAACCATTAATGCTTCTCAAAGGTTTGGACTGTCAGTGAGACACAATTTGTGAGGGAACATTCAAGCGAATAATGGAGATTATTCCATGATGAAAATAATCATTAGTTTGATACAAAATAGTTTATAATGAGCTCCACTTAAACTATCTTCAAGGGGAGGACGACTACAAAGAACCAAGATATTTTGTATTTACAACCATCATATTTGCACAGTTCCTTCCATCCAATTATAACTTGGTGTTCGTTTTTATTTGATCTGGCTTTTTTGTATAACTGCATCCATTGATCCTTACAGGGTGTGGAAGGACCGAGGGGCCCATTGGGGAGCAGAGGCCCCGCAGGAGAGGGCTTTGCTGGATCCAAGGTTTGTCTTTGATAACACTGTGGTTCAGTTGGATGCTAAATCTGCACCATTAAAGCCCCTGTGAACATAAAAGAGTAGTATTCAGCCTAAGATAGGAGCTATAATAAGATCCACTGCCGTGTTGTCTCACAGGGGGACCAGGGGTTGCCGGGCGAGGTTGGCGGCCCAGGAGAGAGAGGGGCCGGAGACCCTGGAGCGAAGGTGAGTCACAGAGCACATCAACAGCAACTACAACCCTAACGTTCTGGTTCACACCCTGACACGCAGCCGTGGTTCTTTCTCCAGGGTGAGCCGGGGTCTACGGGGCTGTCCGGTCTGCCCGGCCTGCCAGGGGAGGACGGAGCCCCGGGACAGAAGGTAGGTCAAGTTTGTTCCTTATAATGTCACATGCATCAATAATATATCCACCGCCAACCGGATGACATTATTTAGAAAAAGAGACACAAGGTAGCAACTTCATTTTTATAAGATAATTAAAATACAAATAACACAAAGAAATAAACCATCTGGACATTTATTACAAGCTTTAGAATCAAAGGAAGCCTACTTATAAGCATTAGGCTTATAGTTCACTATAACACAACATATAACATTATTGAATACAACTTTTGGTTTTAACAAGATATTTTCTAACCATTTTCCTCAAGTCTTGCAAGTAACTTTCTTCCTCTTGTCTTCACACTGCATGATGGATTGTTTCCTGTACATGTATGCAATTCAATACTCTCAAAACAGCAGGAAGCTGTGTAGCCGATGGAGAATTATGTAATTTACATTATTATCGACCCTGTAGGAAATGATTCCAGTCTTATCATTTCACTTGTTGCCTTATTGATCCCACCAATATCGCTTTAGCCACCAATGTAGAAGCACACTTCTGAAATGTATGTTCTGTATCTGTTTTTCTCCAAAATCAAACCTGTGTGTGTGTTCAGGGAGAGCCAGGACCCACAGGCCTCAGGGGGTTAGAGGGGGTCGCTGGAATTGGCACCCAGGGTGAGAAGGTAAAATAAAGTGATTTTTTTGCATTTCTTGCCCTTGGACTTTGCTGACCTGCATATAATAAGTACAGTCACAGCTATCATATTAGTGAGTGTATTCCCAAATGTGGTGTTTCAGGGCGACCAAGGCCAGAGAGGAATCCGGGGCCTGCACGGCCCCCCCGGCATCGCTGGGCCCTCAGGACCAAAGGTGAGGAGCTGTTAGCTTCATTAGCCATCATTATTTTAACATTTGCATTGAGACCCTTTCCTTGGCCTCTTGGAAGGGTATACATGTAAAGGAATGATGGCAGAAGATAATTGACGATTTGCATTAATCTTCATCAGGGAGAACCAGGGGCGCAGGGCAGGGGGGGCTCAGCCGGGCCCCCAGGACGTTTCGTCTCTGGGCCAAAGGTAACACAACCTACTGCAGTGACAATAGAAACTGTGGAAGCTTTTGAGTGATTATATTTGTGTTAAAACTCAGTTCAAATGTTTCAGGAGCTTTTTATATATCATTCCCTCTTTTGGCCAGGATGGTCATCACCTCACCAAAATAACACTGGCATTAGTCATTCCTCTGTAGTTTAAGCGATTTAAATGTGAAATATTAAAGCAGTTTCAAATCAATTTGAAAGACCTCTCGCCATCCGTGACAATTTTGTATTTGTAATAGTGGTTTTCTTGTAAAAACACAGATAGATTTATGTGTGTATTAAATGTTTGGCACCCAAACGCATTATATGTCTTTGAGGCCAGGTAAACCTGCTTTTTTTTATTAGATCTTGTTTTTCTTCTTCGCTGAGTTTTGTTTAGGTTACTCTCCGTATTAGTGTATCCTTGTGCGAGTGCATGATACAAACAAATCCATCATAATCAAATATAGTGCGGCCAGACACCAAGTGCAAAGCTCGTACCAACTTTTAAATGTTTACAAAGTCATATTTATTCGGTCTTAAACAATCACGTGTTACTCTTGCTAAACTCCATTAAAATCTCAATCTGCCAAGGTACAGTAACTGTAGCTCTCTAGATGATACAATTATGTAATTGAGAAAACGATCCAGTATTTGAATTCAATAAGAATGTGTAACGTCTGTTCCAGGGTGATGTTGGCTCGAGTGGTCCTCCTGGTCCGCTCGGTGAGACTGGCTACGGACTTCCTGGTCCAAAGGTAACACTCAGTGTAAACATCTGCTCCAAAACACAATGTGTTTGTTAATATGGGATGACCACAAACACTTAAAGCATGATGTCATAGCTAAACTCCACATCTGGGGAATGATCAATTATAACGTAAATGTAATCGCTGAGCAGCATCCAGGCAGAACAAAGGGGGTGATTTCCTGTCGTGCTGAACTCAATGTTAAAGCGTACTTCGTAGATTTAACCTTTCCCTGTTTTGATGTATTGCACAACACTTACTCACTATACAGCAGCAGATAGCACATGTGCCCATTCACCTCCACATTCCTTCCTCTTCTTTGAACACGGATCTGTAAATCACTTTGTATCCTGGATGAATGAATGATTTGTTCTGCAGGGGGACCGTGGAGACTCTGGCCCTTCAGGTCCATTCGGCCCCAAAGGAGAGGGCTTCCCCGGCCCCTCGGTGAGGAGCTGAAATACACACTGACATTCCCATTCGTCCACTCATAAATCTGTTCATCCATCAGTCATCACATTACATTAAGTCAGCCATACATCTTTCTTTTCCCTCCCTTAATCTACTTATCAGTTCCAGACATATATTAACGTTTATTGCCAAAAGTTATGGTAGCTGACCCTCATGTACATTCTCCTTAATTTAGACCATAAAAAGCAGACACATGGGGCAAATACAAAGCACTGGAATGACTCACTGGGGAAGAGAGTTAAAGGGATACTTCAACATCTTTGGAATTAGGCATATTTATGTATCACTATATTGCCAATGAGATTGATACCAAAAATGAAGCCAACTGAATCTTAGCTTAGCATACGGATTCCAACAGGCAGAAACAGTTGGCTGTGCTCTTTCCATATGCAACGAAATCAGTGCCTAAAGCTCACACAAGTTATCCATTTTATCTTTAATCTAAACTGAAATGTAAAGACAACAGTTTACGCAATTTGACACTTAATTATTACTTGCCTGGAGCGTCCCGTAGACTATGCAAGTTTCCTATCGAAATTACTATTCCTTTAATAATTTCACCATCTCTCAAGGTGTCCGTGGAAATGCTAAAACTTCAAAGTAATCTTTCAATTTCGCATTTTCAATGTAAGCCTGTCTTAAGATTGTATTCTACCTCCATGTTATAGGGCCCTCCTGGTCTGCCTGGACTCACAGGAGAACCCGGACAGGAAGGACTGGGCATCCCTGGACCAAAGGTGATGTTTGTAAAGTTAGTGCAAGTTTGGGACTAAGGGGAAATTGTGATGTATTAGCCTTTTATGAAACAAATGGTTCTTTAGGAGGACAATACGCAGTGTAATATATTGTGCTAATACTTTGGCAAAATGTACCTCTGCAGTGAAAAGCAATTGCCAAAGATCAATTTGAACGTTCTTGGAGTGAAAGTATCATCCCAGTGAAGGATGTGGTCATTTGTTTGAGAAAACTAATTAAAGGGAAATATTTCGCACAGCACAGGAGTTAATTTGTTGATGGATTTTAAATTGCTGTGTTGTAAGTGTTACACATATCTTCACTGTGTTTTCTCTCCTGCAGGGGGATGTCGGTTACCGAGGGTTGCCAGGTTTGCCAGGACCTCTGGGCGAGGGCATCCAAGGACCTCCGGTACCACAGCAATTTCTACTTTTCAGATTTGACAGTTTTTTTAATTAAAATGATTTCCAATTGAACTTCACATCCACCTTTTTAAAACTCATACAATACTGTTTGTATTCTGTTTCTGCCAAAGTGAGTCAAGACCAACATTGCAGTGTGTTAGCTTATGCAGAGAGCCTGCTGTGATTGTATTTGACAACCAACTGGGTAAATTGAGTCATATTCTCTGAAGGATTACGTCTTCAGAGAATATTTGTAGTCAAAGCGTTCCAGATTGAAAAAAAACTTCCAAAACACAGGGGTCTTATATATTCTACAGCTGACAGTTCATTTGTTCAGGGCATTTATCATGATTCTCCCGCAGCACTCTGACATATTAATGCAGAGCGTGAATCTCCACAGACATGTGTGTGTGATGAGAAGCAGGCCTAGTCAGCTGAAATCTGGGGAATCGGAACCAACACACAAATGAGTTCTACATTTGTTCAAGAAAGAGGAATTAGTGGTTACACATGTGTGATACATCGCTGGTGTGGCCTCTAACACGCTCTAGCAAGTTCAAGTTGTATTTATAAAGAAAGAAAATGTGCCTTTTTATTACAAAACAGCTAAATCTGGACTGTTGCTTGCATGCAACTAAAGCAAGCTCAAATGTCATTTGACGACAGATTAAGAACCTAAGTTAAAATGTTTGTTATACCTATTGTGAAACTAGCTGTTGAGACAATTTACTCTTTAGGTAAATGTGTACTGAGGCAATGCATTAGGTGACATGCAGGGTCATTTTCTCATAGAAAGCTGGGGGTATTTTTGAAAGAATATGTTGCCTAACCAAGCTTTTCAGACACAGAGGTCAATGGGGCCTAATACAAGTTGGGTATATGTGGTCGAATGTTAATAGAAATTGTATAAAATAAGGAAAATTGAATGAAGTCCATTCCAATAGGACCCTCAATGTATCCTCTGTCCTGCAGGGTAACGCTGGGCGGCCTGGCCCCTCAGGGCCGACAGGGCCACAAGGACAAGGAGTTCAGGGACCAAAGGTAAGCTATTGTTTATCCTTACAAATAGAAATCAATGTATTTCTAATGTTAATCTGAGAGGTCTCTAACTACCATGCACACAGAGAAGGTAACTCATGTGTTTGTTTCAGGGGGAGCAGGGGTCCCAGGGTGTGACAGGCCCGAGGGGGCTGCCTGGAGAAGGCTTTCCTGGAGCTAAAGTGAGTCACCATGTGGTCCAGGAGCACTGATGTGGGCTTCTATGCACTTATATGTTCTGACTGCTGATATTATGCTTCCTAATGTGTGACAGGGTGACCGAGGATCTGGAGGGGAGAGGGGGCTGAAGGGAATCAAAGGAGAGCTGGGAGACCCTGGAAACGCAGGGCAGCCTGTGAGTGACCCTCAATATCATCAATATGTCCATTTACTCTGATTGCTTTGCGATAATTATGCTCTTAGCCTTTTGTGTCGTAAATGGAATTTAAAATGTGTGGAAACTAAGCAAATGTGAGAGTATTATAACTACGTTTTGTGTCCTCTCAGGGCCGCTCTGGTGTCAAAGGTGAAGCCGGCCTCACTGTGAGTCTCTATTTTTTCTATGCTTTCTCCAGTAACATAATGTTAGTACGGTTACGCCTCTTTGGGAGTATTGTGACAGTGTTAGTTAGATTAGATGCATTTTTGTCATACCCTTTCTTTCAACTGAAAACATTGCGTGTTCAAATTAGATTTTTATGGTAAACTGAAGTATTAAGTGTTAATAATATTGCTATTCTTACAAAAGTAAAGGGTGAATGACTCGAACACTGAGTTTCAGTTTATTTTTATTCCTACACTCAAACTGCGTTGGTGTATTTGTTTCAGAGGGACGACATCATTCGGATGATCAAAGAGATCTGTGGTAAAGTCACTTATATTTCTCACTTCTCCATATTGACTAGCCGCACAGATTACGTTTCTGAATCTAAGCCACTGTTTGATCTTATCTGTAAATCATTAGCTCCGATTCCACAGCGTAAACTCTTCCTCCATGATCTCATATGTTGATGTGCTTCCAGGATGTGGGATCAAGTGTAAGGAGAGGCCCATGGAGCTGGTGTTTGTCATCGACAGCTCAGAGAGCGTGGGCCCGGATAACTTTGAGATCATCAAGGACTTTGTGGCGGCGCTGGTGGACCGCGTCACGGTGGGCCGCAACGCCACCAGGATCGGCCTGGTGCTGTACAGCCTGGAGGTGAAGCTGGTGTTCAACCTGGCCCGCTACAACACCAAGCAGGACATCAAGCAGGCCATCAGGAACATCCCGTACATGGGAGAGGGCACTTACACCGGGACAGCCATCCGTAAAGCCACCCAGGACGCGTTCTACAGCTCCCGTGTGGGGGTCAGCAAAGTGGCCATCGTGATCACTGACGGGCAGACGGACAAGCGGGAGCCGGTGAAGCTGGATCTGGCCGTACGAGAAGCTCACGCCGCCAATATCGAGATGTTCGCTCTGGGGATTGTAAACACCTCAGACCCAACACAGGCCGAATTCATGAGAGAGCTCAATCTGATCGCCTCGGACCCCGACACCGAGCACATGTTCCTCATCGACGACTTCAACACTTTGCCAGGTTAGAGAAATGTGTCTTTGAGGGTGTGTCAGTGTTATATTCCTCAATTTGAAGGATATGAGCTTAATGCATTCAATGGTATTTGTGTATATGCTGGTAAAAATGCCAGTACCCAAATGCTTAAGATAGTTTTAATTATTTTATGAGATTTAATCTGCCCAAGTGTGACGCAAAAGTTCCCCTTGTGTTACTTAGAAATCTTGGATATAATGTATAACCCAGGCTTAAAACCAGTTTCCTGTACCAAGAGATCATAGTGGCCCCATCCGATATTCTGAAAACAAATCGTGCAAAACCACATCCTAGTTCTAAAGAGGAATGTCTGTACAAAATATATACTGGCAATCCATCCAATAGCTGTTGAGATATTTTGATCTGGACTTAAATGGTGGACTTACCAACAGATCCCTCCCCAGAACCATGCTGCTGTTATATCCCAATAGGTGTAGAATATGTCGAGACAACACTTCCTGTATCTCTGACCTCTCCTCTCTCTCTGTCTTTGTCTTAGCGCTGGAATCCAAGTTGGTCAGCCAGTTCTGTGAGGACGAGAATGGAGCCCTGATATATAACAGAATAACAAATGGCTACAACGGCCCTGGGAACAACGGATACAGGAACGGAAACAACGGGAATTACGCCGTTGGAGGATATGCCTTCAAGCCTTCCATTGAGCAGCAGGTTCAAGGCGGCCGTAACACTGGCACCAACACAGGGGTCCAGGTAGACTCCAAACAGCAGGGCAGCACAGGGTCCAGCACAGGGTCCAGCACAGGGTCCAGCACAGGGTCCAGCACAGGGTCCAGCACAGGGTCCAGCACAGGATCCAGCACAGGACGTGTAAGGAACATACATCTATAATTATATGTAATTAACATTATGAAGCTGTTAACACCGGTTTTGTCCCTCTCAGGGAGGAGGAAGTCAGTATGTGTTGACTGGAAACGAGCGCGGGGACACATTTAACCGCAACACCTCAGAGGGAGAGGAATCCTCCAGTACGAGAGGCTCCTCCTCATCTTCATCATCTTCTTCCTCAAGAATAACCACATCGTCCTCGGGTGTGTCCATAGAGCGCGTAAAGCCAGCTCTCCCCAAAGGTACAGATGCTTTTCCATCATTCTCTCGCACAGCCAGTGCACGCAGAGACATGACACACTAACATACCTGTGCACAAAAGAGAGCGCTCCAAAACAATTATTTGTAATTACAGAAAAACACCATCAACAAATGAAAAGAGGTGAAGAAACTTCCTGTTGTTGACTCCTCAGGCAGCAGGAATACAATAAATCATTCCTTTAGCTTTAATTATAATCAAACAAGCGATGTGTTATAATCATAGCGTGATTGTTTTTAACTGCATCATTCCTGAGACAAACATTTGATTGAATATAAACCGCACCTGTGGTTGAATTCAAACCCCTATCCCTACTGCATTTCTAAGGTACTACATGTTACACTGATTATAAGGAGATTAGTTCATTGTCACTGTTTTTCTAATAGAAAAACATTTCTACTTTTTTTGTTTTGTTTGCATGAGACTGAAGAAAATGGATTTCACTGGTACTCAAAGGTTCAACTAGACTAAAAAACCTGGCTGTTCGTGATGCAGTCAACTGGAAAATCAGAGAACTGGAACTCATTTCCAAGTGAGGAGAGATTTTCTTTGGCGTTCCTCTGAATCAGGGGTGCCCATTACGTCGATCGCAAAGGTAGTGTGGGTAGATCGCATGGCATTGAAAAAATAAATTATAATTTTCTTTTTTTTAAAGTTAGCCTATCATCCATCCTTACTATGACATTTGCCACTTGATTGACATACAGGTGAGCCAGTCTGAGTTGTATTGTGCCATACGGGTTCATGCAGTTGATGACGGCGCTGTTTAGTCCACTAGCACCCCTCCCCGCTCGCCGCAAAGATTGGGCAGGGGCGGCCCTGTAGGTAGATCTTTTGGGCTTGGTCATTTTAAAAGTAGCTCCCAAGCTGAAAAAGTGTTGGCACCCCTGAATCATTGGTTCAGATAACTTTGAGCTGCCGTTCAACATGCTCCTCCTGACACAGAGACTGAGATATAACTAACACCCAGACTTCAGGTAAGCTCATCTTTTTGCACGAAGAATAAGGAATAATTGACCATGAGTTCTGGCTCAATTAAATAACTTAATTCTTTCCAATTATAAAACGTGATTGACAGTCTTCTGGATGATTTCAACAGGGCATTTTATTAGTAATTGCATCTATAAAACCCATTAGGAATTTCTGCTTTATTGTTATCAGGGTCATATGTACACTTTTCAGTTACTCCCTGATAATCACACATTACTAAAGAAACGCGCGATGACTAATGGGAAAGCCGTCAGTGTTTGTGTGATGGGTGTTCTTTCTCTGCCCAACGGCGGTGTGTTTTAATATGTTCAGATTTATGAGCTCGTTTTATGAACCTCAAGCTATAAGGTTATTGTCTTGAAGAAAACCACTGTGAGAAAATACTCGAGACAAGAAATATGAATGTTTAAAAATACAGGACAATAGGTGAGAGGGGGGGGCATGTCTGTGCCTGATCTGCCCATGATGCATGTGGTAGCAGGGGACTGCGGTTATGATAAGTGCTTTCTGATTGACGCTCAGTAATGAGGTCTACAGGTGAGGAGCAGAGAGGCCAATTATTTTTGATGCAGTGAGGATGATTTGCTAGACTCTGCTCGTCTTCCTGCAGAGAGAGTGCCGCTGGACCCTCGCTGCGGCCTGGTTCTGGACCAGGGCACGTGTCGAGACTACAACATCCGCTGGTACTACGACAAGCAGGCCAACGCCTGCGCTCAGTTCTGGTACGGAGGCTGCAACGGCAACAAGAACCGCTTTGACACGGAGGACGAGTGCAAGAGGACGTGTGTGATCATCGCCTGATATCTGGTGACTCATCCCTTCAATGTTAACATCTGCCAAACATCTGCTGTAGGAGAGGCAGCTAACACCAGCTATTTTTCATGGGGTTGTGTAGTTTCTGCATTTACACTGACGTTCTATATCCCTGTTACGTCTGTGGGCCTCTTCCTGTTTAACTCATTGTAAAATCATCTTCCTGTAATTATAGTGAAAGAGATCCCATTTTGACAGATACCTCCATTTTTTTTTTTTTATCTCAGCATCTAACGCAGGAGATAGTCCAGCGCTCCTACTCAGGAATACAGATGAGCTTCACTGTGTGTGTTCTTTTTCCAGGGATCCCCACACCTCTCGGACATGATCATGTTTGTGAGGGCTGCAAAGATTGTGAAAAAAATGACTGACCAGTAAATCCTCTGCTACCAGAAATCAATGTGCCACAATAGTGTAGCCGTTCATTTCTTTACTCCAAAAATTAAATGTAGGTCCTTTTTAGTGCATAACCGCAAGAGCCAATAACACACAAATGAAGCCTCTCATTACTTATATCAATAACATGTATGTTGTCCTTTTATATAAATGACTGATGCTCTGTAACTTCATGGAATAACTGTGCATTTGAATGTGTTTTGTTTGTTGAATTAAAATGTGATTTTTGTACTTATTACTGCTTATATTTGTTAAAGCAGTAAACTGATCAACGGACTCACATACACACACCACACACACACACACACACACACACACACACACACACACACACACACATACACACACTGCCCTCTACTGGGTAACACATGCTCATGTCACTGAAGTGTTACCACAGTACAACATACTATGACTGTACTTCCATTGTTGGTGTGTCACTATATTACCCATCTGTACTGTATACATCCATATTGTACTGTTACATGTTCAACATTTGATGTCAAACATTCTAAATAAATCTGATCCAAACTGATACAGTATGTGCGAAAGCTCACATTCATATTAAAGGATCGTATGAAAATTATTTGAAATACATTTAACATAAGTTATATAAAAAGTAAGACTGTATCCAAGTGTATTCCAATTGTTTTACTATTCTGTTTATTGATACGAGACCTGTTGATTGTGGCTGTTCAATGTCTGATATTTTTATAATCCGATCAGTTCTGTGCATGCATTTTCAGTTCATGGACAATTTGACGATCAGCCAAATTGTAACCAACCAAGACCCTGATTGTAAGTATATTATTAATCCGGTTAAACTAAATTGGAGTGTTTGGAATGAGATCTTACCATTATCGTATTCATCTTAAATGTCCAACCAAGGACGGAAAATCATTATTGTTTACCAGCTACAATGAAACATTACATTACACCAATGCAGAAAATCACAGGCATTTTACAATGAACCCAACACTAACGGCATATATTCTATGCAGAAAGGTTTAGATTAATGCAGTAGAACAAATAGATAATGGTGGACACAATGCATTTGACAGCAAAGAGATGAAATATGTCTTCATCAGCAACATAGGGTTTACCCCGATCATTTACATACAGTCCCTAAATATTTTACAAAAATCAATAGAAGAAAACGTTTCTCTACCCATCAGACAATCTGCTCTCCCCTTCTGCTTAAATTACCCGTTAGACACTCCTTGACAAGTGGTGTAGTATGATCTATCTTTAGTGCTGCCCACGGGAGAAATGTTACCTAACTCTATACACTCCTCACACTTTATCAGGCCACAGAAACAAGACTCAACAATAGAAGATCCCATTGATCCAGACACATCAGTGATTGCCTTTCTACCATTTTGTTCTCAAATGTATGTCTGTAAGGAAATTGACACCATTTATTTTTAATAGTAAATATTTTCAGCACTCACATTATTGATTGATTGAGGTTTGTTTTAAAAGGTTTAACTGCAGAGCAACACACACACAAAGTCACAGAGAAACATACACACAAACGCACACAAGCAAACAGCTGGAATCCCCACAGGGAAAAGCAAGATTCATGCTGATTGGAGGACAGGTGTGTGTGTGTGTGTGTGTGTGTGTGTGTGTGTGTGTGTGTGTGTGTGTGTGTGTGTGTGTGTGTGGG